GTTACTGGATTGGAAGATAGGAGTCGTGAGCTGACCGTGCCTAAGCGTTTGTTTTTTGGTTTTAACATATACATCTGAAGTAACTGAATAAACTGATAATTAGCATGGCATAAGGTGGGTTCTGCAAAAAACGCCATAACAGGTTTCCTGTTCCCCCACCCTATTTCGAGACTAATGACAAAGCTACAAGATTCTAGATTATAATCTCTTTTATTTACATGGCATGAATGACTAGGAAAGTGCTAATGGGGGTGGACGGTGGGCAGGCATGATAACAAAAGAGAATAACTGTAGCTTTTGGGTATAGCACTAATCAAACAGATCGATTCTATGGAAGCCTTTAACTAACATCAGCCTTCTATATGACAGGTTTCATAGGCATTCATGTTGCAGTTCTATGGATTTGTCCTCAGTTCTATACATAGTCTGGAGCCCCAGCAGGTCAAATATGCCTGAGCTTTACACATCTAGCCATCCTACATAGGTAACACAAAAATTAAACAATTGACTAATAGTAATACATTTTTATCAGACCAGCGTGGAATGAGGACAGATCAAGTAGAACATTACATCTAGATAAAACATCACAGTATGCTAATGGGCACCCAAGGATGAGACTGAGAGCAGTAATGTAAGCCAGATTAGGCTGCAGCGTAGTGGTATTATATTGTACAAGTGGGCCTATATACAGTTGTTCGGGTGCTACTCAGTTGTGGTCCCGTGGTGCCCTTTGGCTAATGACACTACATGGAGGCTACTGTACACCGCTTAATCAGCAGATAATATCAGCGCATACTTGTTAACATTATGTGCAGCATAATTTAAGGCTATCAATAGCACTTATTTGGCGTAGCGCAAAAACTATAAGTTTCTCAACCGTTATAGGGAAGGCTTTGATGTCTATCAAGTGTTTGGTCGTTTGCCTTGCGATACATTTTAATACCTAATATATTTGGTAAATGCTGAAGATTTCCAGCGGCCCAGCTGCCGAATGGCCTCACTAGACATACCTAGGGATGCCGCAAATGTTGCCCCCCCGATGCGAAAGGAATGGCTCTTGAATTGAGTACTGTTTAATTGCAGTGAGTGGAAAAGGTGAGAGAGAGCCCTCACAAATTGTGCTCTCGAGATGGGGTAGCCCAAGTGAGATACAAAAAGTTGAGATGAGACAGGGTATGGTCTTACTGCCAAATAGCGTTCTAGCTGTTGCACTGGACACAGCAGATATTGTTGTCTCCAGAGGGTAATTTTACTGGCTATGTGGGAGGAGCTGTGTTTATGAGACGGCAGTGTGATAATTGCTTTATCGCTGTGGATTTCCACATGTTCGGCTAATACAGCATGCTCCGCTGTTGTCTGAACAAGTTCACTAATTCGTAGCAAGCCGAAAAAGGCTAGTAACATCATTGTCTGGTAAAGGCAGACGTCATAGGGGCGTGGGAAAAGGCGGGCACATTGTTGGTGGAGTCTAGTGAGGATATCCAGCGTTATGGGGAGTCTCTTGTCTTTGGCATACGCATGTTTATAGTGACCCTTCCATGTTTCTACTACTAAAAAATGTTTAGTTGGGTCTGGCCAGCATGCGACTTTGTACTTGTATGATAGCGCTGACAGTAGCGTTCGTATTGTCCCAGGGGCTAGCCATTCACTGAGAAAAGTGACAAATAATGATGTTGTGATGGCATCGCCTGGGAATAATTTCAGTCCAGATTTTAACTCAAAGGCATCTATATATTTCTCCACCTGTCCATAAGTGGATGTTGTACTAGGTGCTTTTGCCTGTCTCAGGAGTGTGTTACGTTTTGCAGTAATCCGTTGGAGGAAATTAGTGGTGGTAGCTGGTCCTGCTGTGGCCTGGCCTCTGGGTGTAACTGAAAAAAGTTTTGCATACGGTTTCTTGAGAGTGCATCTGCGCCAGTGTTGTCAATGCCTGCTATATGCTCTGCTTTACATACAATGTTATGTGACATAATAAGTAATACTAGAGGTCTGACAATTTGCATTAAGTTGCTATCTTTGGCAGAGGATTTGTTGAGGATGGCAACTGTGGCCTCGTTGTCTGTGTGTATAATAACTTTTTTGTCTTGCAGCTGTTTAGCCCAGGTTGTAAGAGCTGCAAAAACGGCATACAATTCAAGGATGGCGACATTGATGAGATTTTCTCCATTTTGCCATCGGCCTTGGATCCAGTGGTTGCCAAAAATTGCCCCATAGCCAAAAGATTGGGAGGCATCAGTAAAAATGTGCCATGCGTTTTGAGACCAATCGTTGTCATGTATGAAGGCCCGGCCATTGAACTGTGTTAGAAACGTTATCCAAATTTGTATGTCCCGGCGATTTCTTTCGTTAGCCTAACTTTATGCCATTTTTTGTGGGCTTGGGACATGAGCGTGTATAGGCGGCGGGAAAAAGCTTTGCCACCTGGAATCACTGTACAGCAAAAAGCCAATGCTCCTGTCATGTGTTGCAGCGTTTCCAGTGTAATTTTTTGTTTTTTAGAATATTGCGTTAAGAGGCTAAGGTAGGCATCAATTTTGTCTTGGGGTAATCTGATTTCGCGTTTCCGGATGTCTAATTCCAAACCCAAGAAGGACATAACTTGACTTGGCCCAAAAGTTTTGTCAGGCGCCAAGGGAACGCCTAGTGACTCACACAAGGTGGTGAACTTGGACAATCGTTCCTGACACTGTTCTGCAGTACCACCAAGGATAAGGAAGTCGTCTAACATGTGGACAATATCGTGGATTTGGCAATTGTTTTTTGCTGCCCATGCAATGGCGTTACTAAAAATTTGAAAAAGTTGGCAAGCGTTTGAGATTCCCATGGGCAGGGTGGTATCATAGTAAAATAAGCCATCAATGGTGAAACCAAGTAGAAAATAAAAATCCGGATGGATGGGGAGGTTCCGATAGGCGTTTTCAATATCAATTTTTGCCATATGGGTGTCCGGTCCTAAGTGGAGAATAATATTAATAGCATCTTGTACTGTTTGATATTGCACAGCCGAGAAGGCCTGGGGTATACCATCATTAACTGAATGCCCTTCTGGGTGAGAGAGGTGATGGATTCGTCTGAATTTGCCCGGAACTTTTTTGGGGACCACACCCGTCGGAGAAATTATGAAATGTTTCGTTGGTTTTTTTGTAAAAGGTCCAGCAATTTTTCCTTGAGCGATTTCCGTGTTAACTTTTTCTAAGAGGATGGCCGTGTGTTCATTTGCAGATTTGAGATTGTTTTTGGATGAAATAGGTAATGGACCAAAATAAGGGATTTTGAATCCTTCCGTAAAGCCTTTGACAAGAAAGTTTTTCTTGGTTTCATCGTAGTTGTGTAGGGCATTGTTCAGAGCTAATGGTCGAATAGGTGTGGGCATTTTGGAAGGCCAAACGAGGTGTTCACGGTTGTCCAATATAAAGGGGATGATGGGGTTATCGGGGTCTTGCATCGGGTCTTGAGGAATGGGCAGGTCCAAGGTGGGAATTTCCTGTTGGCTAGAGAGGTGTGACATATTAATAGGGCCGGGTAGAAGGCCCGTTGTCGTTGCCACCCCTATTTCCAAATGAGCGGATCCTTTTCTGTGTGCGTTGGGGACGGCCACAGTTGACTTGGCGGTGGGTGGGGTGAAAGCATTTACTGCACACGTGTTGGTAGCGACATTGAAATTTGTTGCAGAAATCGCCCCTGTTCCACCTTCGGCATATTGGGGGGTTGGAGGTAGCATGGGCCAAAGAAGAGCGGGTTGAACGAAAGGGCGGCCGCGGAATTGTGGGGTAGCTAGTGGTATTTGAAGGGGTGGCACATCGCAACATCAGTTCTTGGTTGGGGATTTCCCATGGCAACCCATAAAGCCTATTCTGGCGAAATTCCCTATCATATTTCTGCCAGTCCATCCCTGGGATTTTGCTCAGGTGTAGAATATAGTCCCCATACTTGAGAAGGTTGAGGGCTTGATGGGGGAAGAGCCTGATATAGATAGTTTGGAAAACGTAAAAAGGCTGCTTGCCAATCTGTTAGCGTCATTGGGGATTTAGAGGCTGGGGTAGCAATCACAAATTGGAGATTTCCATTTTCGTCCACTTCACCATTGTACGATATTTTTTGTTTTTGGTCTTTGTTTAGGAGTTGCCGAAAATCCACATACTCTTCCCTGGCAATTTTGTCCCGGATAGGTTGGGGGATGTGCGAGTCCAGAGGGGTGGAAAGTAGAGTAAGTTGATTACCTGTTAATCCGGCTTGTGTCATCCCGGGTCCGAAGCCGGCGACTGTGGTGGGTTGCTGGCCTACACCAGCTATAGGAGGCTGCCCCCCTATCCCACCAAGTCCTGCTGCATGAATGGGCTGCTGGGCTACCCCAGCGTGAGGGAGCTGCATCCCTATCACGCCCATTCCTGTGCCGGGGAGAATCTGCTGGGCTACGCCAGCCTGAGGAGGCTGCCCCCCTCCTGCTCCCTGCCATCCCATTGTGGCCATGTACTGATTCCCTATGGCCTGAGGGAACTGCATGCCTCCACCGCCGAGGGGCATCTGGTTGTGGGTCCCTTGCGTGAGAAGCTGAGGAGCCCCCAGGGCTTGGCCTACACCTGTTAGAAACCCTGGCCCTTGTCCAATTGGACCTGGTTGGTTGTGGAGTTGCTGATTGTAGGCCGGACCTTGTGCGGGATTTTGCGCTTGACCTATCGCTTGGCCTAGTGCTGGACCCTGGGCTTGGCCTGGTGGTTGGCCCACTGCTGGATTTTGAGCCTGGCCCTGTGCCTGGTTTACCGCTTGTTGCATGTTTGCATTTTGCAGCCCTAGCTGGTGCTGCATTGGGGCCTGCACCTGAAGGGGGGCCTGCGGCTGAGGTGGGTTGGCTTGCATAGGTTGGCCTTGTTGCTGCTGCTGTTGTTGTGGTTGTGGCTGTTGCTGGGGGCAGCGGCTGTTGTGGTGCTGCCTGTCCAGCTGGCTGATTGCCCATCAGCAGCTGCATAAATGGTCCCATCTGCGGACCTATTGGAGGAATCCCCGGAGGGTTCATTCTTGATTCCTAAAGGAAAAAACGTACATTAATAAACGACTCCTACCTGGCAGGTTTAGCCTATTGGCAGTGGCCCCGCCCACCACATGGGATGAGTTGTGATCTTTATTTTTTTATTTTTATTTTTTTATTTTTTTTGTGGAATAGTATCGTGCGGTTATGTATGAGCCTATAGAACCATGCAGTTAGGATGGGAGCAAAATACTAGGCAACTTACTATTAGCCATATTGCTAGCAGCAGACTTGAGATTTTTCCAAAACCTGACATGGCCATAAGCGTTGAAATGCGTGCCATCCATGCACACCATGGCAGATGCGGCGTCATAGGTACCTTTCATTTTCCAAAATTTGACGTTGGTAGTTTGCAAAGCCCGTTGTAAGAATGTGTTGGCGAACCTGATTTTTAATCTGTACTGGACTTCTTGCGCGGGGGTCTTGATCCTGCTGCTGGGTGTGGGGGAGTGACGTCTGGGTATCAACTGGCCCACAAAAACCACTCGCAGTTGGGCAGCCCAGGTTTCCAGCAATGTCACATACTCGGACACTATCTGTTTAACTTGTGCCTTGGGAGTATTCCAAGCGATATCATTGCCTAGCATTTGGCAGAAGAGGCCATCAAAATTCTCAAGTCTACGTAGCACTGGCAGTTCCTTTATTGTCCGTAGCGTTCCACCACTAAGTCCAATCATTGTAATTTTACATTTGTCCCGGAGGTCCAGGTCTGGAGGGCATCTATCTATAGTGTCTTGGTCAATGTTTACAGGGTTGGCCATACGTTTAATGAGGCTGCTGCCTAACAGCAGGAAATGAGGGCGCGACATGTCCTGAAAAATGGAGTGTGTTAGAGTGACAGTTAAGCAAAACATGCAGGATAGGAAAGGGTATATACTTTACAATAAGGCAGCATTAACGTCTTAGTGTCCAAGTACTAGGTATGCCTGAAATGCGCACATCGGAAATATGTAGGGCACAAATAAGCAAGACGATGACATAGTGTCAGCCCAGCGTGGGTAAAATGGAACACGGCGTAAGCCAGTGTGGGTGCCTATCAGCGGGGATGCACCTAAGTCTACATGTTTAGATGCAGAATTGCAAAAAATGTTGCCCAGAGTGTGCAAAAATAAATATATAATATATGTTAAACCAGGGTGAATCAGCGTGCGAATAGGGCAAGCCCGAAATTGAGCAGCCAGCGATAGGAAGTAATAGGCCAATTGCGTGCGAAGCGGTCATTCATGAGTGTAGCAAGTATCGTATATGTGGGCTGAATGGAAATATTTATAGGAGGGATGGCTGCCCTCACGTAGCGTGCGAAATATGGACCCAAATCAATTTTTTTTTTTTTTTTTTTTTTTTTGCGTGCGAATACAACATGCAGAGGTCCATGTACAAAATGACAAATGTGTATCAGAATTCGCATATGGAGGTAAGCTATAGAGATGCTGTGCGTGCGAAGATAAAACAATTATTCAAACCTGGATCTGCCCAGCAAGCAGGTCCAAGTAGCGTGCGGATGCTGCGTGCGAATATATTGCCAGCCCTTATTGTGCAATACAGTCATGCAAAATATGGAGCTTATGAAACAAGAACATGGCTTAGGGGCCGGTGGTAGGCTGCTTAGATAAGCAACAAAGTGCTGGGGAGAACAGCCAGCATATGGCCATAAGGGTATACTGTTAGCTCTCCTTAATATAACTTAAGCAGATCGTCAATTATATATGGAAGCTAGTTAACATGAATAAAGGAGTTAGCGTTGGTCCCGGAGTGGCATTCATTTCCCATGCTGCAGTCACTATAAGCAGTGAAAGAGAGATGGTGAAGTTAATGACAACAACGCGTACAACCATAGAATGGGCACGCGATTTATCACGGAGCTGCAGTGAAAAAATGGTGGCAGCTGCAAGTTTTAAGCGAGGGGTTCGGTATGCCGAGTTTACTGCATCTGTGAAGGCAGCATGGGTGCGTGAAGGCTCAAAGCACAGAATAATTACCTTAAGCTAGTCATGCATGGGCCAGTGCAAGCACCTCGCTTGCTGCGCTAGGCGAAAAAACCATCGTATGGACGGCAATCTCATTGCATGGAAGGTACGAAAGCAGCGTGGTATAGCAATGATTATTAGGTATCGCCCCTAGAGGGGTATGGGCAATTGCTTAAAAATATAACGGGTATTGAGGTAAATGGGCACAACCCCTCCGTGCATTAAAGAGAGCACTACATCCGGGAACTGAGCCATCGTCTTGGAATGGGAGAGTGGAGGCTGTTCCAATTAGCGGGTGGCACCCCTCGCGTAGCATAATTTTTTTTTTTTTTTTTTTTGTTGTTGTTTTGCACGTGAGCTAAGGAGCACAGCGTAAGCAGTATATGCGGTTGTAGGTCTCGTATGAAAGGTGAAGGAAAATTTTTTGGGGGAGGAGATTAGACGGAGGAGGTATGAGGGTCACGAAAAGAGCAAATTTTGGCGGAGTGGGTTTTTGTTACCCTTTGTTCCGTGACAGTAATCTGAGCTACGATCGTAATTTCGCTCATATCGTAGCGGATCTAGTGCTGCTTTCGTACCTTACAGCGCTGGCAAGAGCTTTAGAATTGTAAATTGTACTTACCAGTTCTGTTTGTGTGCAATAAGCTACGCAGTTGTTCAAAAGGCGACGCTGTGTGTTCGCTTCTGTTGCAATGGCGGAGGCTTCTTTCTGTCTGTTCTGTTTACCAGATGGCCTTTCCGATGGCCAGTGCTAAGTCACGTGACTATTCCCGCGGGGTAAGAGGGCCTAGTTTATTAGCCCTTTATGACAATTATGCGGCCAGCTCAAGATTCCTATTCCTCCCAATAAATTTATTATACAAGCATAATAATATTATATAATTTAGTGCTAATGATCTATGAAATTTTTATTGCTATTACTTTATCATTGTACATTTCCACCAGCTCAGACTGGTGTAGAAAGTATGAATAAAGCATAATTGTAGATATGTGTGTATTAAGAATAATCCGATATTTTATTGCTAAATCCTGTTTTAATTGACTTCCAAATTAAGATTTACAGCAAAGTCTTAATGCTCTTTAGGGAGCTAGAACTACAATAATTACTAAGAACAATAGATTAAAGTGCCTAAAAGTTTGCAGCTACGAGTTTACAAGAGTTTGCAAAAAATTTTTTATTGGTGCAAATTTCAAAAAGGAATTGCAGTTTGCAGCAATATTGCAGCAAATATGCTAAGGGAAAAGGATGACAACTTCATTTTGAGCAAGAAAAGTGCCATAAACAGATTTTCCGGTAATGTTTCAATTTTTTTTCACAGCCACCAGTGCAGCTACATGTTTCAATACAATTCTGAATGCATTGTGTAGCTATAATGGATATAGGGACCTCAAAAATTCTCAAAATTTTATTTTAGATATACTTTGACGTGATTCTTGGCATCAAGACATGTGGCAAAATGAAAGTGATGCTGTACCTGCCAATGTGACATGTAACATCAATAAGAATAGTTTATGTAGCATGACAGCTGACACTATAATAATATCTCACGCTGGAATAAGCAAAATATGGAGGCAATCTAAAAATTACCCTGCATGATGACAAAATGTGTATGTATGCATTTATAATATATGAGGCACCTGCATTTCTTGTCTAAAATAACTGGAACTTTAAATGGCAGTATGAACNCGTTATACCTTTGGCAGTACTGTGCTCCTTTCCCATGTAAAAAAGTCCGCACTCATCACTGTCTCTCAACCACTTGATGTTGGCTGCCATGATGCTCTCCACCTGATCACTCCAAGACTTCTGCCAGCCTTCTAAAACAACAGAACCTGATGCTTCATCAGAAGGGACTACTGAAGGTGAAGTGATGTCCTGAGATGTATCAGATTATGTGATATTTCCCCAGGTAGTCAACTGAGAGGAGACAGCCACCTCTGACTTAACTAACACATCCTCTGAAAAGTAAAAACATTATCTTAGCTTAAACAGTGACAACACAAAGCCTATGTGATAATGTGGTTAATTTGGTTTTAAAAAATGTAAAAAGAAAAATTGCATTTTAACAATACATAATTCTTTGTGTGCGGCAATGGTCTACTATATCTGCAACAGTATATTATTTTACCTGCTTGTGTCAACAGCATGGAATCTTCAACATATTTAGGGTCTTGTTCCATCTTTCTCTACCATCTCTCTCTCTCTACCCTCTTAATTGACATGAACGTCACATAGTGATCTTACCAGCCAGTTCTAACAACTCGGTGTCGGTAACAAAATTGGGGTTATTGGTCTCGCATTGTCTTTCTGCCAAGGACTCCTCTTTCTGAGCTGAGCCCTTGACTGAAGTCCGTAGTGGTGGAGAATGGAAACCCATCTTTGGTTTGAAAGTTTTTTCTTATTACTGTATTACTTTGGGTATTAATGTGCTCTTTTCCAGGGTTATAAATCTACACTCATTGCCTCTAAGCTACTTGATGTTGGTTGCCATTATGCCTTCTGACTGGTCACTCTATGGCTTCTGCCAGGTTTCCAAAACAACAGAACCAGATACTACGCTGGAAGGACTGTAGTAGGTGAGGTGGTGCACTGGCAGTTTCAGGGTGACTGCTGGATGTATGGACCTTATACAGTGCAGCCTGGCACAAGCCCCTTCTCTCAGTGTACCACTGATCATGTCCTTGCTGTATCAGGCAATGCACCTTGTTCATGGAGATTGAATTCACTCTGTCATTCAGCAGTGTCACAATCCTTCCTTCCTGCTGCTCTTTTTCCAAACAAGGTGGCTTGAAAAATGCTTCTGACAACTGGTGGCAGATTCATCAAAATCTGTGGGCTGCTGGAATACCATAAATAATGCCTTCACCCAACTTCTTCATTCTCTTGATCATCTTGTTGGCTGGCAGTGGAATATACTTTCAGGCAAATGAGACATCTCTCTCTGCATTTGCATTTGAAGTTAAAATTGAATGATTCTGACATACTAATTCTCCAGTAGCATCCAGATCACTTCTCACTACCAAATATTCTTTCATGTGTTTCATTCATCATAATCATAATTTTTTTAAAGCCACTTGATCGTCGGCTGTCACTATGCCCTATGGATCGTAACTCCAAAACTATGGCTAACCATCCAAAACATAGGAACAGGGCATGGTTGACGAGGCTTTGCCAAATAATATAATGTCTTGGTACGTGTCATCGGATTTCTCCCCATGTAGTCATCTGTGAGGAAATGCCCACTTATGAAGTATCTAGTACATCCTATGAAAGGGAAAAACAAATGTGATAAAATGTGATAATACTAACACAATTAGTTACTGAAACTAAGTATAAACTAATGGGGGATTCATTTTAGTTTTACTTTAAAATTTGATAAGTGGCTTTGTTTGATTAAAAGGCAGGGAAT